ATGGGGAGGTATTAAATGGGCTGGTATTAAATGGGGAGGCTTGTGGCCCTACATGTGGCAGGGGGTTGGAGATTCGTGATCCTTGAGGTCCCTTCCAACCCTGGCCATTCACCTCGTCCTCCTTGCAGGGCTCAGGCTGCTCAGCCCAGCCCTCAGTATCTGCAGGATGCTTACACAGAGGTTTGTCTTGGTTTACCACAAGCAGCTCTGAAACCCACTAAAGCCTCCAGGAGGGCCGGTTCCACTTGGAGTGAGCGCACAGGTTAAGGGCTCCATTCCTTCTCACACTGGCGTTCCAAAGCATCCCAGCACTGGATATCCCCCCCCCCTGCACTTCTGGCTGAGTGCTTCCAGCTTACAAATCCACAGTGCCTTTACTACACCCCGAGTGTGGATTCCACCCCCCAGACCCATCCTGCTCTCTCATCTCCTGCTGCGCAGCCCCTCCACCTTCCCAGTGCTGACCTGAGCAAGGAGTGGCAGCTCAGTTCCATCACAGCAAAATTCCTGCTGCGGGGTGACCCCACCAACACCAGCAGGAGGGAGGGCAGCGAGAGATGGGACCATGCATCAGAACAGACCACCCTCACTCACACTGAGATGAAATGACTGAGGGACCACTCTCTGTGCAGCAACAACCTCCATCTCAGCACCAGTTTTAGCTCAGTCGCGGCTGTCCCGTGAAAACAGAAAAGAGGATCTCATCCCTACTTGTTTTTAGAAACATTTCCTTGATCCAGGAACCCTACTCAGGAGATTCTGCCTGTCAAGTTCTCCCCTCAAATCCCAGCTGATGTGGGGATAAGCACATCATCTAGGGAAGCTTTTTATCTTCCAAGCGTGCCTCTTGCTTTTGGCAGCTTTCTAAAGGCTGCTTGGTTAATCCTCATCAGCTTTCAGTCTTGTCAGAGCCTCTGCACTACAGCCACGTCACAGAAGGGCAGAGGGGAGGAACTCAGGTAGCACAGAACCGTCTCTTCCAAGAGAGGGAAAATAAACCAAGGTCTGTAGGCTCGGCTGGAAATCAAATCTCCAGAAATCCCAGCCCCAGATCTGAACTACGGCACAGACGATGAACGCTCTGCCTGTCTGCCTCCACGAGTGCAGCAGTGTGACTCTGAATGGGGACTTTGTGCACCCCCAGCTGCAGCACAGCCGCTGACAGCACCACGTTCAGGATGCTGATGTCGTGAGCTCTCCTTCATCTCAGCTCTGTACAGAGCCACAGCCTGGCTTGCTGCTGTGCTACAGGCACAGGGCTTTGCCTGGGAAAGCAATGGGACAAAGCAGAAAGGAAAGCTCTAAGCAGACAGCGTGCAGAAGCACCCGCAGCAGAGGGCCCAGCTGTCTCACCGATGCGTTTCTCCAGGTCTGCAGCCTCACTGGGGGTGGCTCTGGGCAGGATCCCGGGGTCCCTGCAGCTCGTCTGGAGGAGGCAGCTGATGACGAAGAAGAAGAGGACAGCTGCGATGATGGGGATGGCCAGGGTCAGGTGACGGGCGAGGAAGGGGCAGCTGTGAAATGACCAAAAAAACCCCAAACTCACATATATAAGCACTGTTACCACCCATACCTTCAGAACCAGCTATCGTTTATTACACAGCATACTACAAATTACCGCGGGGAGGGGGTTGGGCTGAAGCAGAGACCTCTAACACAGCAGGAGCCAGCACAGATCACGACCCGTAACACAAATCCTGCAGTACCGGAGCTGTGCGGGGCAGCCCCGTGTTCTCCAGCACCAAGGCAGCACCAGGAGCCAGCCGCTCAACGCAACCTCTGCCCTCCTCAATCGCAGCATCGCCAAACCGCAGGATATCCCCACTACGAAAGGACCCACGGGGGTCACCGAGCCCGACCCCCCTCTCCCCCGCAGCCCGGGTTAAGCAGGGATGAAACACGGCACGAGCTTTGCCCAAAGCGGAGAGGGAAAGGAGCGCTCGTTTTCCTCCGCTTCGGGAGGGCTCAGCACCGAGCTCGGCTGCCCGGCACCGCGCATCCCCCGAACAACCGGCACGGAAAGGACTCCGAGCTCAGCGCTGCCTCCTCCTCCTCTTTTTCCTCCTCCGGGTCCCGGCAGCTCACGCGCAGAACGGGAAGGACGGACGCGATGTCTCGCACCGCACAGCGGGACGCGAAGCGGCGCTGGGGGCTGCGCGGACTCACTCGAAAGCGAAGAACAGAGCGCTGGTGGCCAGGATGAGACCGAGCGTGAGGGCGAAGACTCCGCTGTGCCCCGCCAGCATCAACCGGCCGCCGCAATAGAAGCGGTTGCGGCCCGGGAACACCTCCCATTTCCGTCGGGGCCGCCGGTTCTCGCCTGGACGCTCCGGTACAACGGGCGGCGGGGAAACGGCGGGGCCCGGAGCGGCGGCACCGGGCGGGATCTGCCGGTACTCGCAGTCCTTCATGGCGCCGCCCGGAGCCCGCAGCGCCCGGCCCGGCCCCGCCCCGCATTGCAGCGCCCCCTGCCGGCCGCCGTGGGAGCGGGGTGTGACCGGAGAGCGGTGCTGCGGGGCGGCACGGCTCAGCACGGGGGGGTCGGGGGAGTCGTTGCACAGAATCACAGAAAGGCCCGGGTTGGAAGGGACCTCGAGGATCACGGAACTCCAACCCCCCGCCACACGCAGGGCCACCAACCTTCATATTTCATAGCAGCCCAGGCTGCCCAGGGCCCCATCCAACCTGGCCTTGAACACCTCCAGGGATGGACGGGGCATCACAGCCTCTCTGGGCAGCTGTTCCAGCACCTCACCACTCTCATAGCAAAGAACTTCCCCCTGACATCCAACCTCCATCTTCCCTCCCTCAACTTCAAACCATTTCCCCTTGTCCTGCGGTTATCAGTGATTTCAAAGAGTTGATTCCCCTCCTGTTTTAGGCTCCCTTTAGGTACTGCAGGCTGCAATGAGGTCACCCCGCAGCCTTCTTTTCTCCAGGCTGGACAAGCCCAGCTCCCCCAGCCTGTCTTTGTAGGGGAGGTGCTCCAGTCCCCTGATCATCTTTGTGGCTCCTCTGGACCCTCTCCAGCACCTCTCTGTCCTTGTTGTGTACTGGGGGCTCCAAACCTGGACACAGCACTGCAGATGGGGCCTCACAAAAGCAGAGTAGAGGGAGGACAATCACCTCCCTGCCCCTGCTGGCCACCCCTCTTCTGATGGAGCCCAGGATGCCATTTGCTTTCTGAGCTGCAATGCACACTGCTGGCTCATGTTCAGCTTTTCATCCATCAGGACCCCCAGGTCCTTCACTGCAGGGCTGCTCTCAAGGACCACTCCTTCCAGTCTGTGTGGATGCCTGGGATTCCCCTGACCCAAGTGCAGAACCTTGCACTTTGCTGTGTTGAACCTCATCAGTTTCACCCAGGCTCACCTTTCAAGCCTGTTGTGGCCTCATGTGATTGCAAAGAGGAGCCCTAACGGGAAGCAGCAGCTGTGAGCAGGGCCAGCAGCTCGCTGCCATGCGTTTCCCCTTCTGTGGTAAGGAGGGCAGCTGTTTCTGCTAATTGCATTTGAGAGTTTCGGTCCAGTGGCTCCTTTTGTGAACATAGGGTTTGAGTTTCTTCCCTCCACGAGATGGGAATCTTTCTTTATCATCTTCTGCATAACAGTGGGAGGCAGACAAAACTCTGCCTGCCTGCCAGGAGCTGCTGCTCTTCCACCTCATCTCCTGCAGTGCCAATGGGAAGGTGGGAGGAGGCGAAAAGCCAGGATAACACCCTAGAAAAGTAAGGAGACACTGGGGAACAACCCCATGGGTACAGCCCTGGTGCTGCTTAGGAAGAGGTGTCCACTGCTACAGCTCTGTGCTGAGCAGCTCCTTTTGTTATAATGAATCTGTGAGCACCCATAAAGCACAGGATGCTGTTCAAAGGAAGTGTCTTTGGAAGGTGAAGGTGTACATTTACATCAGCTGTCCATTCCAGGACAGAGCCATGCTCTTCAGCTACGTGTATCATCTGCACTCAATCACTACCTAAAGGAAATTCTGTATTACAACACATGTCAGGTAGCAGAGTGCAGCAGGAGAAAGGCAAGAAAGATTCCTCCATGCTGAAGTGTCTTTTTAGCTGTTACAAAAACAAAGAAATAGCTCTCCAGGTTCACACTGCGTTTCTCAAATGTTTATTTCAGTGCAGATAAGATAACTAATGCAACTGCATATTTGAAAGACAGAAGGAAATGTGTTCCAACAGCTTGTTGTATGGGTGCTGTTTGTTTTTCTGTAATTACTCTGCTCATATTCTCCAATGTTATGTTAATGAAGTGGCACAAATGTATGCACACACACCTGATAGTTCTGAACTGCTCTCCTGCATCCTCCTTTACGTTACAAAAAAACACACCTTTGTTTATTAAGACAGAAACATTACAAAATGAAACTCCAGGAAGTCAAAACTTTGCCAAGAACCCCAATAACCAGGAAGTCAAAGCCCCAACAAATCTGACCTTTTCACTGTGGGGGATCACTGCCAATTAAGCTCCTTGTGTTTCTAGTTGTTATCACAACACCCACACCTACGAAGTTGATAAAATCATAGGATGGCCTGGGTTGAAAAGGCCCACAGAGCTCATCCAGCTCCAACCCCTGCTGTGTGCAGGTCACCAACCAGCAGCCCAGGCTGCCCAGAGCCACATCCAGCCTGGCCTTGAATGCCTGCAGGGATGGGGATCCACAGCCTCCTGGGCAACCTGTTCCAGTGCCTCACCACCCTCTGGGTGAAAAAACTTCCTCCTATATCCAACCTAAACCTACAATATCTGACTGCTTTGGCTTTCAGCTCTCCACTACTGCTGGCACGAAGCAGTGAGTTAATATACTAAACCAGACTGCCACAGAGGACAGCAGCACAAGCAGCTGTGACTCCTTCAGTCAGTCCCACCCTCACCTTGCTGCAGGTGGCACCAGCTAACGAGCCAAGTTTTAACTCAGTAATGACAAACCAGGCCAGTGCTTCTGCTTAAGGTTTATCAATCCCAAAGAAAATACGTGGAGGCAAGTTAATATCCATCAGTTTAATAGAGAGGCACTCACCTTGGTAGGGGCAGCTGGCCAGCAGAGTGCCCACACCACCCCTCAGTGCTGTATTTATGACAGCAGGAGACAAGAAAGCAGCATTCACAGAAAGCAGGCAGACCTGGTTACAGCTGCAGAGCAGTTGCTCACAAACAAGTTTCTTCTTGCTATGCACAGAAGGAAGAGGCAGTGTGTGTGTTCCCAAGCTGCCACAAGTTCTTTCTCGTGGGCCAGTCACCTGTTTGGGCCTTGAGCTGTGTTTATCCACGTGTGATCTGAAATGCAAACTTACCAGGCAAACACACACGATACAAAGGTTGTCTGGGATCAGTGCTACCTGTAGACTTTCCCCCTTTCATTTTCACATGTTGCAACAGATCCTGAAAGAGAGAGAAAAAGTGAACAAATGTTGACATCTTTCCATTCCCCCAGGTGGTTCTGGATGGTGCCCTGTCAGTCTCACTTAACCCCTGCTCTCTTCCCAGCCCTCAGCTGCACCTTACGCCTCCATGTTGAGCAGCAGAGGATGCCAAAGGGAGCGGGCCAGTGACTTAACAATTAAGCCCAACAGATGGCTGGAAGCCTGCAGTGTTTTTCCGAGGTGCAGGACACGCACACCTCACTTCCAACACCATCTGTCACCCACCTTGATGGTGGGAAGTCGAGTCCTAAGATGGCTGCAGTTGCTTGTGACACGGGCTACAGATAACAGATATTTGTAAGCCTGCAGAAATCACCAGCACAATTCCTCTCTGAAAAAAGAAAGTTTCTTTTCAGATCACTCAAACTCTGTCTGTACAGGTTGAAGCTGCATAGGCAAATATGATACTTCAGATGCCATTAAAGGAATCACACGAGAAGGAGGGATTTTGTACTCCATGAAAATAAAACTGGGAGCAGAGCATGAGAATAATGCATGAAATGAAGATATTTATTCTGGAAAATGATTCATGATTGCCTTTAGTTGGCAGATCATGAGCTTGTGGAGGCACCTGTGACAAACTACTCCAGAAGAGATTTTCACTTATCTGAGTGTTGCTTTTTTTTCCCATTGAGAACTGTACTGTATCTCTGGGCAAACCACCTCTTTCTTTCATCTCTCTCTGCAACCAGTGGCTGTGTTTCCCTCTTCTAACTCCCAAAGGGCAGTACTTCAATCACTGTGTGCACTGAGTCTTCTTTCCATTGGTCTAAAATTCATTAAATTATTCATGTCTCCTGGTTTGAGAAACATTCAAACTGTGGGCATCAAACAGCAACCAAGCATCCAAGTAACAGCAGGGAACTTACCAAGATACTCAAAGCTTTTTACCTCTCCTTTCACCATTCTCCAAAGTCTGCCTTTGGTTCTCCTTCTCCAGTGATGCCTTCCCATTTGTCAGCCATGAGGGGATGACAATCACAGTTCAACTCAGCACCCACCTCAAAAGAAAAAAACAAAGCTTCACTGTTAGCTGGCACAGCAGCAAAGAAGACGACAGTGATCACATTCACACCTACCTTCACAATCACCTGCTTCCACAGCAAGTCAAAATAACAAGAAGATCCATTATTTATGAGCTACAGAATTCTTCCAGAACTGAAGGGATTCACTGAATCCTGACAATTCAGAAATATTTTCTTTAGGAAATTCACTGTTTTAGGTCTTGGTCATATGGTCCTTTCCCATGAAGGAAAGTATGCAATTAACACACTCCATAGGAAGGTGTGCATGTTGGTGCTGGGAATGTCCCTGTTTTTACTACTTTTATGCTGCCATGCATTCTTATATTTATTTATTATTTCTTTAAATACATTTTCTTTGCATTTCTGAGAGCTCTCAAAATAAAGAAGGAAATGCCTCAATGAAAAACGCTGCGCTGAAGCCTACACTGAATGATCACATATTTGCATGACAATGAATACACAGTGAAGGTGGTTTGTACACCAGATTACCCATCCCTGTTGCTGCACTCATTGTACTACTGATACAAATTCGTGATCTCTGGTAGGGCCTGGACATTGGGTACCAATGTGGAAAGATAAATCTGAATGGGGAAGTGGAAAGGATCATAAAATGCCCTGCTTTGTTAAGTGGCACGTGGAACCAACATGGGACTTGAAATCCTTGGTTAAGAAAGCAAAATGGAGTGGCATTGTATGTAACGTGGAGTTGTGGTTGTGTGGACACTTTCCTTAGCCTCAAGTGGGACCACAGTGACCACATTGGAAGGAATCTGGCCAGGAAAGTACAAGACAGCACTACTTTTGTTGGGCTGGAGAGTGTCATCAGCAGATGTATTTCTCTCCCATGTGACAGAGATGCCCATCCCTCTAAACACAAACTCCACCTGTCTGAAAAACCTTGATTTGAGTGGAGGAAAAAGCTTCGTCCATGTGTACAAATGGAGTATTACACAAAGCAGAAAGTTAAGGACAGGATCGAGTCAAAGTTTAGAGGCACATCCCCTGCAGACAGATGTGCAGACGGACCTTGCTCCTCACCTTTCTCCATATTTGCTAGCTCAAGGAAATATTTCATGTTGGCTGGGACATACCACGTAACCAGAGTCATTCTCAAGGAAATTCGGCTCTATGGGGTTAATGGGGGCAATGAGAGAACTGGGCAGCAGTGGGGGAACTGGGGACACTTGGGGTGATGGAGGCAATGGGGTTAACAGGGGGAAACTGGAATCAGTGGGGGCTACGTGGGGTAACAGGAAGGAGAAACTGGGAACAGTGTGGAGAAACTGGCGATAATGGGGGCACTGGGGGAGAACTGGGAGATCACGTGGGCCTCAACCCGGGGAGAGAAGCCGTCGTGACGTCATCGCTGCCCCCTCCCCCCCCCCGTCCCTTCTCATCCTCGCCCCCTGGTGCCCCGCTGTCACTTCGAGATCATCGCAACAGGACGGTAGTGATGACGTCATCGTCCTGCGCCGCACCGCCCCCTTAGCAACGTCCCCCTCCGTTAGGCCCCGGGGGCGGACCCACAGCGCAGAGCCGCCCCTGGCGGAGGGCAGGGCCTTCCCTTTGCCCCCCCCATTCCCCCGGCCCCGTTAACCCCGCGTTTCTCCCTCGGGGTTCTCAGTTCCCGGCTATGGCTCTGTGGGTGCTGCTGCTCCTCGCGGTGCTCCCCGTGACGCCCTCCGCCTCTCCCCGCTGCGCCCCGCAGTGCCCCCCTGGCACTTACCCGCACCCCCCGGGCCGAACACGGCAGCGCTGCGGTCCCCCGAAGGGCCGCTCGGAGCCCGTCCGGTGCCGAGGTGCGAAATAGGTTGCGGGAGGTCAACTTCCGGTTGGGGGTCGGAAGTGGCGGGCGAATTCCGGGCTAGGCAGGAAGTGAGTGCACTTCCAATAGGGGCCGGGTAGGAAACTGATGAAAAAATGATTTTCCTGCGTTTGGGGTTCCCCGCAATTGGGCATTTCCACAGGGGTCCGCCGGAAATAGGGTCCGAGGGGGAAACAGAACCCCGGGGCCGTTTTGCTGTGGGGTTCACTGCCGCCCCTCACCCCCCGCAGCGCTCCGTTGCCCCGCGCCGCTCTCTTTCCCTCACGGCACCGTGGAGCCGCGCTTTCCCGCGTACCCCTCCGGCAGCGTCCTCCGCTTCTCGTGCGACGACGGCTTCGTGCTGCGAGGGGCCGCGGAACTGCGCTGCAGAACCGGGGGTGTCTGGAGCGACGCCCCTCCCGTGTGCGACGACGGCGGTGAGTGAGAGAAGCCCTAAAACCCATCGAAAGGGCCCGAAATCCCTCCAAAAGGCCCCCAAGCCTCCAGGAAATGCCCCAAAATTATTTTGCGGAGCCAAAATATCCCTGGGAGACCTCAAGATCCCTCGAAGAGACCCCAGAAATCTTCAACAAGGCACCCAAATCCCTCAAGGTCTTTAAAATTGTCTTAAATGCCCCAAAATTCTTGGGAGCTCCCCAAATCCCTGTATACACCCCAATATACTTGTGAGGAGGGACAGAATCTTCTATAGATAGTTCCAAATGCTTCTGGTGTGAGGGCAAAATCCCTCACATAAAAGCCCCCACATCCTTCTGGGGGTGGCAAAATCCCCACAGAGTTCCCGAAGTTCTTCTGAAGAGGGGGTGAAATATATCTGTGGGATGGGGCAAATACCTCAAAAGCCCTAAAATCCTTCATAAGGGCCCCAAAATCCTTTCCAGAAGGGGATGTTAAGAGTGTGGGCAGAGCCCTTATCATCACCCCCAAATCTCTCAATGACGCTCCAAAAAACCTCGGGAGGAGGGGGGGGAGGAGGGGTAGGAAGGGTGTAAAGTTCCTCTTACAGACCCCAGAATTCCTCATAGAGTCCCCAAAATTCTTCAGGAGGATGGGGGGGACGACAGGGGTTGGAGGGTCTTTATAGGGCTGAGGGGGGGTAAGGAACATGAGTCTGGGGGATTGGGGGGGCTGGTGGGGGGAGTCTTCATGGGATGGATAGGTGGGTTGCTTGGGAGGGACTCAGTGGTCCCTGTGGGGCTGAGGGGAAAGGAAAAAATATCTGGGGGGTTATGGGGTCCTCGGGGTTTGTCAAGAGACCCTAAGGGCCTGGGAGGGAGGGGAGATAGGAGTTAGATGGGGGGATTCCTATGGGGTTGGGGAGTCTCTGTGGGGTTGGGGGTCATCCCTCTGAGCTGTGTGGGTCCCTTGGGGAGGGGGCTAAAGGCTACCTCCACTGATTCTCCCCCTAGAAGGTGACTGTCCCCCCCCTGCGACACCAGCGGGGGGGGTGACAACAGGTGGGGGACGGCACCATGGAGCCGAGGTTCGGGTGCACTGTGGGGCAGGGCTGCAGCTTCTGGGACCTTCCCGGCGCCACTGCATGGAGACTGGGAGGTGGTCCGGGCCTGAACCCACCTGCCGCCGTGAGTGGCACTGTGTCCCCATGTCCCCAGGTCCTCATATGTCCCATATATCCATGTCCCCAAATACCGCCGTGTCCCCCAAAATCCCCATGTCCTGTATCCCCATGTGCCATATTCCCATGTCCCTAAATATCCTCATATTGTTCCCTTTTTCCTGTGTTCCAGATACCCACGTTCCTAAGTCCCCAAATGTCTGCATGTCCCCAAGCGTCTCCACATCCCCATAATGTTCCCAAATGTCCTCATATTGTCTCCACGTTCCCACTTCCCCAAAATGTCACAATTTCCCACATCCCCAAATGTCCCCACAGACCCCTACTCCTTCGACCTCCCTGAGGACATCAGCAGTGGCCTTGGCTCTTCCTTTGCCTCCATCCTGGAGCTGGCGGGTGCCCACGCTGACAATGGTGAGCTGGGGGACGCTGTGGTGACACCACGGTGACATCATCACAATGACCTCACGGTGACACTGTGGTGACAGACATGTCCCTGGGACGCCGCATTGTACTGAGCCGCAATGAGTCCCTCCATGTCTACGTGCTTCTGGATGCTTCTGGCAGCGTCCAACAGGACAACTTTGAGCTCTTCCGGCAGAGCGCGGTGGCCATCGTGGATAGGGTGCGAGGGGACAGCAGGGTGGGACCATGGGGAGACCACAGGGGATGGGGAGGGGATATGGGGTGGGACCATGGGGAGAAGAGGTGGGACCATAGGGGGATCATGGAGAGATGAGGAGATGGGGTGAGACCACGGGATGAGGGTAAGACCACAGGGACCAATGATGGGATGAGATGAGACCCCGAGGAGATGGAATATGACCAAGGGGTAGGTCCTACAGGTTAGAGGTCTGGAATGGGTGCCCTGAGCTGTCCTCATCCCCCTGCTGCCCCACAGCTCAGCAGCTTCGAGGTGCCCCTCAGGTTTGCCATCGTCTCCTTCGCCACCCACACGCATGTCATCATCTCCACCATCGAAGACGACGCTTCCGATGCTGACGAAGTCATCGCGCGCTTGGAGGCCATGAACTTTGGTGGTACGTCCCCAAAGTGGGCGACCCCAAAGTTGGGAGCGCACTGGGGACACAGTGACATGGTGTTGTCCCCTCAGTGCACAGGAACGCAACGGGGACCAACATGCATGGGGCGCTGTTGGAGGTCTACCACATGATCCTCTTCCAAAAGGAGCGGTCAACGCGTGACGGCCAACCCAACGCGTGGAGGAACACGCGGCATGTCGTCATCCTGCTGACAGATGGTGGGGACAATGAGGGGACAGTGCTTGGGTGGGTGCTGTGGGGCTGGGCTGAGCTCCATCTGCTGCCCCTTAGGGAGGTTCAACGTTGGCGGACATCCCCGGGATGCGGTGGCCAAGATTGAGGATGTGCTGGAGATCAGAGAGGACCGCGAGGAGTACCTGGGTGGGTGTGTGGGGACACCAGCGGGGAAATGGGGACACTAAGGTTGGCTTTGTGGATCTCTGAAGTGGATTTGAGGATCTCAGTTGGGGTTTGAGAACACCTGAGGTAGAACTGGGCACCTCAAAGGTGATTTGGGGGAACCTCAGAGCTAGACTGGGGACATCCGCGGGGCCATGTGGACACCAATGAGGATATGGATGGGGGAGTGGGGACATCAAGGTAGGGTTTGGGGACCTTGGGAGTGGCTTTGGAGAGCTGAGGAATAGGGTTGAGGTGTCCTCAGTGATTCTGGGGACCTGAGTTGGGCTTTGGGCATCTGGAGGCCATCCTGTCTCCACATCCCTGCCCCCAGTGTCCCTTTGCCCTGGCCACTATTTGCTGTTGCACCAGCAGTGGGGTCAATACCCTGGTTTACTGCTATCTCCAGGGCCAGTGCCCCATCCTGGGTCACCAACCTTCGATTTGGTGCCTCTAACCCCGTACTCATGATCACACCCTGTGACAGATGGCCCAAACCCCATTCTGGGGGCCCTTAACCCTGTTGCAGTGCCCTGAACCCTGTTCTAGATGCCCCAAGCCCTGCTCTACGTGCTCCAATTTTCATGTGAGACATCCAGACCCCACTTCTGAGGCCTTCAGCCACATTCATTGCACTCAATCCCAACTCAGGTTCTCCAAACCCCACTCCAGGTGTCCCCTGCCCCCTTTCTCATCCCCTGACCTCTCACCCTCAGACATCTATGCTTTCGGGGTGGGGACCCTGGAGGTGGACATGGCCGAGCTGGAGGCAGTGGCCTCGCACCGCCGGGATGAGCGCCATGCCTTCAAGCTGGCAGATGCGTCGGCACTGCGCCAGGCACTGGAGGGGGCTCTGACTGCCACTGCCATCGGGGATCTCTGCGGTGTCATCATCCCTGCTGGCACTGCCCGACCACCGTGGCATGTTGTACTGAGGGTGGGCACTGGGGAGGATCTGTTCGGGTTGGAGATGATCCACTAGGGGCAATTGAAGATGGAGGGGAACGCTTTGGGTACCATCTTGGATGAGGGATCCTTTGGGGAATGTTGGGGGTCAAAGGAATATTTATTGGGGATTCATTGAGGATGGATGAAGGAACCATTGGGGACTGAGGGATCCAGTGAGGATGGGGGGAATTTATTGGGGAACGACTGGGGTTGGGAGGATCCACTACGGATCGTTGGGATCCCTTAGGGCTTGGGGGGAAGTCATGAAGGATCATTGGGGGTGGAGGAGTCCGTTGGGGATGGGAGGACCCAGTGGGGACAGGGGATTCCAATGCAGACCCCGTGTTCTTGCATCCCCTTCCCCATTACTTTCCCAGACTGGAGTGCAGCAGCGTTGTGCAGGGACCCTTCTGGGAGGCCGCTGGGTGCTGACAGCTGCCCACTGCTTCCTGGGGGGTGAAAGCCCCCACGACTGGAGCGCCGAGCTGGGTAAGGCCCCAAAAGTGGGGACTCCCTCATCCTGATCCCACAGCCCCCCCCAGCCCACTGGGATCCCAAAATCCAGGACCTCTCCACCCCCATTGGGACTCCCCCCGATTCCCATTTTTGGGGGTCTGCAGCAGGGGGTCAGGAGGTTTCCATCCGGGGGTGGAACCTCCATGAGGACTTTGATATCCGGGGGAGGGCGGCACGGGGGGTCCCTGAATTCTACGACTATGATGTGGCCCTGGTGGAGCTGGAGAAGGAGGTGGGAGACACAGGGGTCCCCAGGTGAGTGGGACAGTGGGGCTGGGGGGGGCAGGTTGATATTGAGGGTTTCTGACCCCCCTAAGAAATCTAATTCCCCCCCCAAAAAAGGCGCATCTGCATACCCTGCACTGAGGATGCAAACAGAGCTCTGAGAATGGCACCAGGGACCACATGCCAGAAGCAAGGTGGGGCACCCAACATCATCCCCACCTTCCTGTATCTCCGTTCCCACACTCCTCATATTGCCAAATGTCACAGTGCCTCACATCCCTGTGTCTGTATCCCCCCACTATTGTCTCCCTATCCCTACATCCCCATTTCCCCATCTCTACATCGTCCCCAAAAGTCTTCATTTTGTTCCAATATCCCCAAATTTCACAATGTCCCATATCTCTTTGTCACCATCCCCATGTCCCCAGCCCCCCCATACATCCCCATATTATCCCTATGTCCCCAAATGTCCTCCAGAGGTGGAGCTGTTGGGCCACACTCGTGTCCCCGCCGAGTTTGTGTCACTGGAGGGCAAGAGGTTGAGCGTCAGGATCAAGGAGCAGGAGGAGGTGTGGGGCTGCCCCAAGGCGCAGCTCTACCCCATAGTGGGCCCCAAACACCCTCCACAACAAGGAAGGGTCCAAGGAGGGCTCTGCCCCACAGCAGGATCCTGCCCCATAGCGTGGCTCTGCCCCACAGCGTGCCTCCTGCCTGATGGGTGCAGTGCAGCCTGGGATGCCCCATGCTAATGCCTCTGTGAAGGATGTGGTGACAGAACGGTTCCTGTGCAGTGGGCAGGAGAGCAGCAGTGAGCAGGAGGATGCAGCCTGCAAAGGTGTGTGTGAGGGCCCCAAATATCCCCATCGCCACACTCCCATGCCCCCATATTGTTCCCATGTCACTGTACTGTCCCCATATCCCCATACCCCAATGTCCCCAAACGTTCCCAGGTGAATCTGGAGGTTCCCTCTTTGTGGAACGCCGCCACCGTTTCCTCCAGGTGAGTGCTATGGGGGGGGGCCTGAAATCCCCCCCCCTCACTGCCCCCCACCTCCCCCCACCCACCCATTTGGGGCTCCCCAATCTCCCCCTCCCTGCAGGTGGGGGTCCTGAGCTGGGGCACCTTCAATCCATGCTACAGGGGGGGCCGCAATGCCGAGGGGGGGCTGCTCCGTGCCTCAGCCCCCCCTGGCCACCACCCCAGGGATTTCGCCATCAGCCTCTTCCGCATCCAGCCCTGGTTAAGGCGACACCTGGGGGGGGTCCTGCGCTTCACCCCCCTGTGACTCCCCCCAAAGGTCCTCGCCATTGGACTCCTATAGGAGCTCAATTGGACCCTCCTACCCCAGA